TAAATGGGAAAAAGAAGATCTATTAATATGTTGTCTATAAGAGACCCATTTCAGATCTAAGAACACATAGAGACATAAAGTGAAGGGATAGAGGGATGCCTTGGTGGCTCAGTTTCTTAAGCCTCTGACTCCTGATTTAGGCTCAGCTCATGATCCCAGGGTCCCAAGAGATTGAACCCAGCATCAGACTCCATGCTGAGCATGGAACTTACTTAAAAATTCTCTCTCTCCTTGCCCCTCTCTCCAAGTCACACATGCTCTCTCTTTCTAAAATAAAATAAAAAAATGAAAATTAAAGTGAAGGGATAGGAAAAGATATTCCATGCAAATGAACATGAAAACAAAGCAATACTTCTATCATACAAAATGATAACTTTAAAACAAATACTACACAATATAACAAGGAAAGGCATTATGTAATGGTAATAGGATCATTTCAAAAAGATGATATAACATTAGTAAATAATTATGTGCCTAATATAGGAATACCTAAATATATAAAGCAGGTATTAACAACCTAAAGGTAGAAATTGACAGCAATACAATAATAGTAGAGGACGTTAATACCCAATTTACAGCAATAGATCTATCATCCAGACACAAAATCAATAAGAAACATTGGCCTTAAACAACACATTAGACCACATGGACTTAATAGATATAAATAGAACTGTCCATTTATAAGTAGTAGAATACCCATTCTTCTCAAGTGACATGGAACATTCTCCAGGATAAATGGCATTAGCCTACAAACAAGTCTCAATAAATTTAAGAAATTATTTCACATACCAAGCATCTTTTCTGATCACAATAGTATGAAACTAGAAATCAGTTCCAAGAAGAAAACTGGAAAAAAATCCCATAAAAAGGAAGGAAATCTTGCCATTTATGACAACACAAATGGACCATAAAAGTGTTACGCTAAGTGTTATAAGTCAGACAGAGAAATATAAATACCATATAATTTCAATTACATGTGAATCTAAAGACAAAACAAGTTAACAAACAAAAGAAAACAATCTCATGGATACAGAGAATGGATTGGTAGATATCAGAGGGGAAGAGAGTTAGGGGGTGGGTGAGATGGGTGAAGGGAATCGATTGTATGGTGACAGATGGTAACTAGACTTACTGTGGTTATCACTTTGAAATGTATATGAAAATCAAAATATAATCTGAAACTAATAATGATCTGAAACTAATAATGCTATATATCACTTTGCCTTGGAAGTAAAGTCCTCTATCAAATTTGTAGAGATAAAAAATAGAATGATAAGAAATACTCTGGCAGATCTGAGAGTAGATTAAACATTGTAAAATAAAAAAATCAATGAGCTTGAAAATATGTTAATATAATTTAGTAAACTTGAAGACATAAAAAATTGAAAACGGAAAAAGAACTCTAATTTCTATCTGGTATCATTTTATTGCTCAACAATGTCCTTTCCTAATTTTATGATACTGATATGATGTTGATAAATGTATAAACACAAACCAGAGCTTTAAAAGGCATAAAAAAAAAAAAAAAAAAAACAGACAGAACTGAGCACAGAGAAACAGATAATACTTGTAAAACTATTAAGGAGATAGAAGATGTGAACATTAATCAACCAGCTGACCTATTTGATTTTTAGAGAATATCCATACAACAGAGGAATATATATTCCTTTCAACTGCACATAGAACATTTAAAAATACAGATCATAAAATGAGACCCAATAAATTTAAGCAACTTGATATACTAAATATGTTTTCTGACAATTCAGTTAGAAGCTAATAGAAATATATTTGAAATACACTCAAATCTTTGGAAACACATCAACAACATCGTAAATAAACAATGTCAAAAATAATATTACCAAAACAGATTTGAAGGAGCACTTGTACCCCAATGTTTATGGAAGCCTTATAAATAATAGCCAAATTATGAAAAGAACCCAAATGTCCATTGACTGATGAACTGGCTGATGAATGGCTAAAGAAGCTGTGGTATATATGTAAAATGTAATATTACTCAGCCAACAAACAAAATAAATGAAATCTTGCCACCTGCAAAGACATGGTTGGAGCTAGAGCATATTATGTTAAACATAGCAAGTCAGTAAGAGAATGAAATACCATATGATTTCACTCATATGTGGAATTTAAGAAATGAAACAGAGGACAATATGGGAAAGGGAAAAAAAAAAAACAGGAGAGAACAAACCATTAAGAAACTCTTTAGGATAGAGAACAAATTGAGTGTGGATAGAAGGAGGGGGTGGAGATGGGCTAAATAGGTGTGATGGGTATTAAGGCATGCACATGTGATGAGCACTGGATGTTATATGTAATGATGAATCACTAAATTCTATACCTGAAACCAATTTTACACTATATGTTAACTAACAGGAATTTAAATAAAATTTTTGAAAAGAAAAAAATATATAGCAAGAGAATATTACATGACTTAGAGCTATTAAATACAACTGAAGTGAAATGGACACATTGCTGGAAAGATATACATCATCAGAGACCACTAAAGACAAAGGTATTACTGGGATAGACCCAGGTCTGTGAAGGAACTTGAGTTTGTAGTTAAAACTCTACACAAGAGAAGTTCTAGCACAGGTGGTTTCACTGGAAAATTTTCCAAATATTTAAGTAAAAAATAAGTATTATATACAAACGCTGCTAGAAAACCAAAGAAGAAATCCTTTCCTAATTCATTGAGTCCAGTATTTTCCTGGTCCCAAACAAGTCAAGAATAAGAACACAATCAAGCAATATCTTTTGTAACCATGAATGGGCATTTTTCACGAATGAACTGCATAGAGACTCCAGCAATACGTAAAAAGGACAATACAGCATAATCAAGTGGGTGTAATCCAAGGAATGCAAAATTATTTTAACATTTGGAAATCAATGGAGTTCACTGATCTATTGGGCTAATGCTAAAAATCCATATGCTATTCTCAACAGATGTAGAAGAAGCATTTCAAGGGAATGAAGGGAGAGATATTTTAGAGTAGCTGCCCTTCCTGCCACTTTAGCTATCATGTCACCAAGTTCCCCTGATTATCTTTGTGAAAACTTATTTTTCTCCACTGTTTGCCCCTCAAATATTTGTCTTATTGGCCTCACTTATTTCCTTTGGATATATTGTCTCCGTGCAACAGGTAGTCTGGATCCTTCTTGCTGGGGTGCTTCCCTACATTACCTAATGGTTAGAGGAGTTTTAATTTTTTAGCAAGGATAACATGCTTATATCTTCACATAAATATGTCAAAATAAAACATCTCTAATACTAATTTTAACTATGTCAATGTCACTACTATATACTTCCATTCTCCCATTATACATTAAATGCCCAGGGAATAGAACAGTTATTATTTACACCATTAAAGAGATTAAACTAATGGCATATGATGATATAAGGATAAAAAATGTAGATTTAAATGAGTTATTATGTTAGCCTCTGAATCTTATTCTAGCCTGTATGATAATTATGTTTCCACTTAAGTATGAGAATTTTTAACAACTGTTGAACTTTAAGACAGAAATTTAAACAGAAGGAAGTCTCTCTGGAAAGATACAATGATGAGAATGAGATTCTAGAACAATATTTGTTCATTGTAATGAATGGTCCAAGAGCTTTTCTGTGCTGCAATTAGATGTAATATTGACTTTTTAAAATACACACTGGAAACCGGAAGTCTCTGAGATACATGATCATTATCTGCGGTGAATATGTGAATGTTTGATGTGTAATCCTTTTAAAAATACCAACAGTGGGGGACCTGGGTGGGTCAGTTGGCTGGACATCTGACTTTGGTTCAGGTCATGATCCTATGGTTTGTGGGTTGGAGTCCCATGTTAGGCTCTGCACTGACATCCTGGAGCCTACTTCTGGTTCTGTGTATCTCTCTCTGCCCCTTCCTTGCTCAAGTGCTGTCTCTCTGTCTCTCTCTCAAAAATAAATAAACATTAAAATTGTTTTTTAATACCAACAGTATGTTACAAAGGATTTAATGTTTGCAAAGAACATCTAAAAACACCTATTTAAAGAAATATCTTGTTTATTGCTACCTGCTATATTAAACGGATTTGAAACTTGCAGAATATCAGTAAGTGCTCAGGAAGTGACAGAAAAAAATATAATTGGATTGCAATTATTCTTTTTACAATAGTTTTTTTTAAAGCCTAATCCTTACAATTAGCCTTTTTTTGACAATGGAATATATTTGGAATATATTTTTACTAATTATTTTCTTGTGATTATTCTTATACTATTTGGTTTGTGAAGTGTAGAAGAGATTCTATAAATACTTGTAGCTATGCTTAGGCAGAAAACTGAATTAATAACTACCATGAATTTATAAAATTGTACACCTATAAAGTTTCATTGTCTCCCTTTTAACAGTTAGAGCCACAACCTAAAAGAATGAAAACGTTGATCTGTTTGATGTTAATAAAAATCAAGTAACATTTAACAATTCTAAAAAATATATATATAAGTAAACTGTCAAAGAAGGGATTTAGGATAAATTGTTTATTCATGGGGTAGGTAAGCTTTTTTAAAATGGGATTATATTTATGGAAATTTAATTGCACATAATTAGCTTTTTTCTGAGTACATGAAGAAAATATATAATGGCATTTAATAAAATACATTTTTTATATACATACAACAGTGGTGCCATTAACATTAGCATCCCTATTTGCATACACTCTGTAGCAGTAATATTAATGTGGTTGAGTCAGTCATAGGGGCCCTGGGTTCATTTTGGTCTCAAACCTGCCTTCTAGAAAGAATAACCAGTGCAATGGGTGTGGTCTTTGACTTGGGTTAAATCACTCTGTTAATCTCTTTTACAATTTAACTAAAAACGAGACTACCATAAACTTTGAATAACGATGAACCAAAGAATGATTTTATTCTTGATAAAATAAGATCAGAAATATTCTTCCACGAGATTGATTCTGGACACAAGCCAGAAGGATATGTATCTGTAGCCTACCTGTACCAGGAGATGGAGGGCTCGGGGGACCCAGAGGCCCTGCAGGATAATGTCATCTCTTCTCCTCTCTCCGCTGTGGCATTAAAGGATTTCTGATGCATTCTGATTGCTGGCGGTACTGAAAAAAGAGATGAACATAGGCTAAACAGAGATGAAAAACATTTTATAAACACCATTGGGACGTTCTTACAGGTACTTTTTTTTGTTATTCATTTTAGGCTTTAAAACTCTATACTTTACTTCTGTATTTATATCAACAGGACTGCCTTGGTTGCACAGTAAAAGACTTTAAGACCACTGATCTGTCTGCCATGTACAATAATGAGATAATTCATTCTAATACTATTGTACTATTTTTAATCTATCAAACTAAACAAGAAAGTAGACACTTTAACAAATTTATATATACACTTTTATGAAATATTTCTCAGAAAAAGACAGACAGTACTATCCTGGCTTACATCAATACTGAGATCTACTTGGAGCCTAAATGGATTTCCTATTTGAGTTCTCATCGATATATGTAATTCTATAAGCAATTATTCACTGCTTCAAGACAGGGCTTTCAAATTAGGTGTCAAACCATAATGTTCTTTCTGATTAACTGCACTTAATTTCTTCACACAACTATAGAACATTTTATGAAGAGAAACTGCTCAAGCCATAGAGAGTATGAAATAGATTTTCATGAACAATTCAATTTTAAAATTAAGCTTCCCCAATTTCTAACTAATTACATTGCAAAAACTGCATATGCTGCACCTTTTGGACATGTTGAAACTGTTACTAAAATGTACTGTTTGCAATAAACAAATCAATAGCATCCATAATAGAAGCTAAATTTCAAAGTACAGCATAAATTTTTATTTAATGCACACTTTTATGATTTTCAATTGAATATGACAAAATGATGTTCCTAAAATTAATTATAAGAATACAATTGTCTTTTACATATCCTAAACAACATGACCAGACAGGCATTTAGAAGTGTGATAATAACTGGGGCACCTGAGTGGCTTAGTCAGTTAGGCATCTGAGTTCCGCTCAGGTCATGATCTCGCATTCGTGGGTTCCAGTCCCGCATCGGACTCTGTGCTGAGAGCTCAGAGCCTGGAGCCTGTGTCTCCCTCGGATTCTGTGTCTCCCTCTCTCTCTGCCCCTCCACTCCCCATACTCTGTTGTTCTCTGTCCCTCTAAAATAAACATTAAAAAACAAGTGTGATAATAACTAATATCTCTACAATAGCATTCAGGTCCACATCGATGCTGTATTGTTGGCATTGATGGTGCAGATAGGAACTGATATGTATCTTAGCAATTAAGCACAATAAATCAAGTTTCTGCCTTTATGAATTCAGATACAAGGTACAGGATCTGACCTGCTGCCTCTAAAGTACGATAATAATTACAAGTATTAAAATGGGATGGACTTTTGTTTACATTAACTCTGCATTTTCAATACCTTGAAATTTGACTTTCTGTATCTTGTTTTCCTTCTTTTGCAATTATGGGAAAGAACACTTTAATCAAAATGTATTGCCGTTCATTTTGTTATAACAAATGTAGTTGCAAGAACATTATGACTATTTTTATTATAGCAATAAATATTTTAACCCATTAAATAATTATAATGAAAATGTACTCTTTAAAAGAAATTCTCTCTAGAACTTAGTATTTGCGTAAATAGAAACACTTCCAATTGGAGAATCACATGCTCCAGTTCTTGTCCCTTTACTGGTGCTCATTTAGACAAACTATTTATTCCTTATCATAATTCTCTTTTCTGTAAACTGAATCACATATACTGGATGACCTGCAAGAATTGACAAATCTTAATGTTTACATTGTACGATACAGTGGCTCTACTAATGAAATGTGTGTTCTTACTTAGAGTGTGGATTTGTAGAACAATATTACAATTGTATATTTATATAGTCCTACTTTGAAGAGTAATTCCAAACTATTCTGAAGAATAATAGTCTCAAACTCTGCAGAAGTGTTCACTAGTTCTGATACCATGAGATGCAGGGAAGTTGTTAGCCACTGTGTTAGACTATAGAGCACTTTTGTGCATATTCTTTTTGATTCAGAATTTGCTGCTGAGTTGGATTAAATAATTTTAAGAGGGATTCCAATTATATTTCATTCAAATTTCTTATTTCCTAAGACCCATATGTAGTATATTTTTCTACTCTATTTTACCTTCTTAAAATATTTTTTGCATTGGATTATATCTGAAATATCTAGTTTTAATAACTTTTTACAAAGATTTATATTGTGTATTATAAATAGTCAATCCTTTCTGATAAGTTTTGGTTTTCATTCTTCAGCTTCAAGACACATGAGAATGTGTAGGGAGGTGCCTCCAGAACTCTCACGTATACAAAGGTTTTGGTCCCTCTTCATGGTACAGTTCTCTTCGCTGGCTGCTTAGGCACCATAGATAACACTAATTTGATAGTCTGATTTCCTTTCATCAACAGTGGCTTCCAGAAGTTCCACATGCCTTCTGTGTCTTGCAGTCTTCCTCTACAGACTGCTCCTTAAATATTTCTCAGAAGATGAAGAACATTGTACTAAGCATGGAATACTTATGTGGTTCAAATTGATCAGAACCATAATCCCTCCAAATTTATTCGGGATTAGGAAAATAACCTCCCAATTAGGAAAATAACCTCCCAATCCCCAATCAGCACCACTGTCAGCAAAGCTACTCTTTATAACTCACTGATTAATTAGATCTGGCCAAAATATATATCATCAAATCAATTCACATTTTATCCTCTCTCTGGCAGAGGACTACTAATATTAAGACTCATGGTCCTTTCTTATTTACTTTTCCTTGCATTCACTCTTAAGGCTGTGTGGCACTTAGAAATTAGCATAAGGGAGGATTTGAAGAGATGGTAGAATAGTCAGCACCAGGCATCTGTCACCCTACCTAGGAAGCAATCGTACTGACAGAATCAGTCTAATGTAACTATTTTGGATCTCTGGAGTCGGGGGTAGGCTTGCAGCTTCCAAGGGAAGGCATAGAAGGTAAGTTGTAAGCAAGGTTTCAAAGAGGTATCTGTATAGCCATCTTCATAGCAGCATTATTCACAATATTTAAGAGTGGAAGCAATTCAAATGTCCATTAATGAATGAATGGATAAGCAAATTGTGGTATATGCACAAAATGGAATACCAGTCACCCTTAAAACGAAATTTAAAGGGTGCCTGTGTGGTTCAGTTTATTGAGCATCCGACTCTTGATTTTGGCTCCAATCATGATCTCAGGATCATGGGATTGAGCCCCGTGTTGGGCTCTGTGCTGAGCTTGATGCCAGCTTAAGATCCTCTCTCTCTCTCTTCTCTTTCTCCCCCTATCCTTCTCCCCCACCTTCTCTCTCTCTCTCTCTAATTAATAAAGAAAAGAAAAGAAAGTTAATTCTGACATATACTTCACACGGATGAACCTTTAGATGCTATGCTAAGTGAAATAACCTAGCCAAGGAAAGACAAATACTCTATGATTCCACTAATGTAATTAGAGTAGTCAAAATATAGAGACAGAACTTGGAATGGTGGTTGCTAGAAGCTCTTGGGAGGGAGGAGAAACAGGTAAAATATGGAGAGGACAGGAATTGAAAGAGATGAATAGAAAGTTATCGTTAAATGAGAGTAGAGTTTCAGTCTTACAAGAGGGAAAGAATTATGGAGACGGATGGTGCTGGATGTTGCACAACAATATGAATGTATTTAATGCCACCTAACTGAATACTTAAAAAAGGTTAAGATGGTAAACTTTATGTTATGTGACTTTTACGGAAATAAAAAATAAGAGAAGTGGGAAGAAAGTCCCAGCAGTTATCTTAGTCCCTGGTCAAGAGAAGAGATAGAGTACTTGGTAGTTGTAACATTCTATATTGTTAGTCTTTTTTTTTTTTTTTTAATGTTTATTTATCCTTGATAGAGTGAGAGAGACAGAGAATGAGCAAGGAAGGAGCAGAGGAAGAGAGGGTCACAGAATCTGAAACAGGCTCCAGGCTCAGAGCTGTCAGCACAGAGCCCGACGCGGGGCTCGAACCTACGAACCGTGAGATCATGACCTGAGCCAAAGTCAGACGCTTAACCGACTGAGCCACTCAGGCGCCCCTCTATGTTGTTAGTCTTAATGTACATGGAATGTAACTTAATTTCTTTCCTCAGGTTTTTCCATGAATTCATTAACACTGTGGTTCTTTCTATTTTATGTAAGTACTGAAGAGAGAAAAATGAACCAACCAGGAAACCACATATGCAAAGCTGATTCATATTATTCAGGGATGCTAGAAAATTGCATTTTTTCTTCAGTTTTATTCTAAGACTCCCTCTTTGATATGGAAGCAAGTATCTTCATTCTGCAACTTACCTGCAATTTTATATACTTATTTGCTTATAATATCATATAGTAAAAAATGATTGATATTTTAATATTATGTAGACTCTCTCTAAGCAGGAAGGTATTTAATTGTAGACAATGTATTCTCATCATGATTTTGATCATTTGATTGCTACTTACCAGTGGTTTTACTATGCTTCAATGCCCATGTGTGAATTTTTTTATCTGTACGATTTTTATTTGTTTGTTCTGCTCTTTACTTCTGCTTCACAGGTTATTATATCATCTAACACCTCTCAATTTTCTTTTTCTTTTTACTATTAATTTTTTAAGTTTATTTATTTTGAGTGGGGGAAGCGCAGAGAGAGGGGGGAGAGAGAATGCCAAGCAGACTCCACACTGGCTGCATGGAGCCTGATGCGGGGCTTGAACTCACGAACCATGAGATCATTACCTGAGCCAAAATTAAGAGTCAGACTGAGCCACCCAGGTGCCCCACACCTCTCACTTTTCATTGGTTCTGGTTATTTGTAGTAATCCTTCATTTTATATTTATGAGGTTGGTCAATTTAAAGTGCTGCTTGGTAAGAATAAGTTTTCTTTGGAACTCAAGACATACAAAATTTTAACAAATATAGAATTTCAAATGATTCATAAATAAAAGTTAATTAATTGTATAATTTCATTTTGAAAAAATCTAGCTTCTTGATCATAGCAAACCACGTGTTTGTTAGACTAACACTTGTTAGACTAAA